TGGTATTTCGTGGAAGAGCCACACTCAAGGGGCCAAAGAGCCGCATGTGGCTCGCGAGCCGCAGTTTGCCGACCACTGCTCTAGCCACTGAGCCAAACAGGCGAGGGCCCTTGAGCGTATCTTTGCAGCCCCATCTCCCTGGTCCAGTGGCTTGTCACCCGCAGTTGGTCTCCGCAGGTGCTAACAAGTAGTTTCTGCCACTGCCGCCCGCTGACCGAGGTCTGACAACACGGAGCGGAGGTGCTTCAGAACCTGGAGGGTCCAGGGCGCGGGGGCAGGAGGCTGCCAGGGGCTCTGAGGGCAGTGCCTGCCACGCAGGGCTGGCTCCTCTCACCCCATCTCGCGACGGCACCCCTAAATCCTGTCTCCCCTCGGCCCGCGGTCTAACTTCGAAGGCCACACCTTCTCCCAGGGACCCCTGGCCCGGCGCCTGTCCCTCTCACAGGTGAAGAGAGGCCGCTGTCCTTGTGTTCCCATGGTTTCCCGAGCAAATAAAAATAACTGGAGAAGGCACAGCCCGCTTGGCATCCGCCTGGTGGGGGTGGAGCCTCCCCAGCGAACCCTGTGGGAGCAGAGCCACGCAAGAATCTCACACCCTCCACGTGGCTGTTCACGACACGCCGGCGGGGACTCGCAGGCTCTCCCACACGGAGGGAGCTGTGCGCACAGGGCGATGGTGGGCGAGGCCGCAGCCCCCGGCGCTCGGGTCCATGCCTGGGACCCTGAGGCCTCTGGGCCATCACTTGGGCAGGCAGGGGGGTTCCCAGGTCACCCCCAGAGGCCTGGGGTGCCCTGCAGAAACGTCACAGACAAGATGGCTCCGGGTTCTTGGATAAGTCAAAATAGTTGCCATAGGACCCGGCAATTCTACTCCTGGGGAGAGACCCCAAAGCACTGAACACACGTCCACACAGACACCCTGAGCACCGCGTGCACCTCTCTCATACCCCCCATGTGCTGCTGCTGTTAATCCTCACCCCGGGGTATTTTTCCATTGAATTTTAGAGAGAGTGGAAGGGAGGGGGGGAGAGAGAGAGACACATCAATGTGAGAGAGACACATCAATTGGTTGCCTCCCACAGGGCCAGGGATGGAGCCCTTGACCGGAACTGAACCCGGGACCCCTCAGTCCAAGGGCCAGCGCTCTATCCACGGAGCCAAACCGGCCAGGGCTCCCCCGTTTTACTTCTTCCACTTTGGTGCCCAATGCCTGGTTCTTACGGGGAAGGGGAAGGGAGGACCCAAAGCCCAGGAACCCCTCGCTGCCCCCGAGGGTCAGGGTCAGGGTTAGGGCTGACCCCACGCCGGCCCAGCACCGGCCACCACCCGGGACGGGGCCCTCTCTGTCTGTCCACGTGTTTATCTCCGCACAGAAGCACAGGCTCACGGGGCAGCTGCTCCCTCCCCTCCAACGTGTATCCCCAGCGCCCAGAAAAGCCAGAAAAGCGAGGCACCCGGAACAGGGCTGAGCGAGCCTCTCGCCTCATCTCCTGTAAGTCACTCAGGTCCTCTCCGGCCGTGACCGCGGCCACAGGAGAAAAGGCTTCGGAGATGAGCGTCATAATCGCTCAGGGACTGTGACCGTCCCCCGTGATGG